CGTCGGGTGATGAAGACGGAAACCATGCTGTAAAGGAAAGGAAGTTGTAGGGCAGATTGTGATAGAGCTCCTGCTGCACGACGAGCCCGACCATTTTACCCATGACTGGGTCGATGGATGCGTTGCCTGCACTTGGTGAGGTCGGATGGATTCCTAGATTTGGAAATTGGGTAGATTTCGAACTGTTCCCATGGATCGCGAAACGCGTGCTGCGTGAGACGGACGTTGATGTGGAGGAACGCGCCACTGATCATTGGAAATTAGCCTTAAAAATGCCTTTACACAAGCCGTCCAACCCGCACGCCGCTAGACTCAGCGCCGTCAGCCGTAGGTGTCGCAGCTAGCCGGGCTGATCGGTACAGGCTGAACGAGACAGACTACCAAGCGAGGCAGCGAGCACCCAACAACGGGTGTTGTATCCGGACTAACCTCGTGCTGACCTCGGTCGTTCTCATGGGTCCCACAGATACAACAAATAAATTATTCCGATCGTTGCCACACATCTTTGTTAACACATTTTTAGGAAATGTTACGCATTTGGATATACTGAAGTAAGCATCACATATGATGAGATAACCTCACATATAACCATTAGTGTGCTTTTCGGCGCAAGGCTGCTCGAGACAACAAGCTTTCACTTCTGAGCGGATATGCTCCTGAATGCGCCATCGGTCAATCGCATCATGAAACATTTGTATGGCGTCGGAACGGCTGTCAAGCTGGCATTGCAAAATTGCCACTGTAGCGGACGGGCTGACTGACTTGTGATACTTCGTCCAAATGTCGTTGGGTGAGCTAATTTAGTCATTTGTCGTGGTGTTCTGGTGTATTTGTCTGGGATTCGTATTGTTTACTTGTATTTGCATACTCCGTGATGGCGTTATTCTTCATTTATTCGACTTCCAATCTTATTTCCGTCATAACTTGTACCACCGCCCAAGTTCCTGTATCATATAAGACGAAACGTGATGCACCACTTTCATCCGACCCTCTCATCCTCTATCTTGCTGTATCCTGCATCCTCGCGACACCCCGCCTGTCCGGGGCAGGCTGCATGCGTCAGCCACGAGCGCGCTGAGAGCCCCGTGGGAAGGGGGACCCCGGCCGGGTACCCAGCTCGTGTGCGCGGGTTAAAGCTCGGCGATTGGCCTCCTAGGCGCATGCGCACCTGCTCCACCGTGGACCATTTACCTTCGTCCCACAGCCCTGAAATGATCACTTCCGGTCGAAAGGGCTCAAATCCAAACAACGAAACATCACCTCCACGAGACGCACCACCTCGGTCTAGTGCCGATGCGTGTCCGGAAATCCCACTGACTTCCGCCAGACACACGTAGGTGGAGGGCAATATTTTGTATGGCTTTGGGTACATCTTGGCCAATGAGGCGGCAGTATTCGTATGACGTGTTGAGACTGAGCCATCGGGACGGTCACGAAGTAGAGACGGATACATGTTGGGACACGCTCTCGGACGAGTTCGTGCCCCCGATAACAGATCGCGAGCTGCGCCACACCGCGTGAGGGGCGTCCTCCGCAATTCCCTGCAGTCGCCCTGCTCGCTGTCATGACGTATGGCGGAAATGACAGATGCATCCGGTGCACGCATGAATGAGGCATCAGTTAATAGTAATATGTGTCACAGGCTTTGGTGAGGTCATCCACAACTGGCAATTCACATCGATGTCGGCAAGTTGACTATTACTAAACTCCACGACGGCGGCTTATTTGGATGATGAGTGGTAACGAATCGCAGCTAGGTAAATTATGTGTATCCCAGGCTGTCGGGGAGATAATTTTCATTTTCATTTTCACATTCATTTTTTTCATTTTTTTCATTTTTTTTCATTTTTCACATTTCACATTCACGTCGATGCCGTCAAGCTTGATTATCACCAAGCTCGACGACGGCAGCATGATTGGCAATCAGAACTGCAGTTTGCGCTCACTGTTGCGTGCTATTGGTCCACACAGGTCGGTAAGAGCTCACAGGTTGTCTTTACTGACTATGATTACCAGCGAATTATCTCATGTTTCATTATCTCACATCCCATATGTCAAAAAAGTATTGTCAGGTATGCGCTATGGACAAATCGATCATGTTCCAGAATCAACGTATTTTGAAACGAGTGGGTTCAAAATTTAAAATGCACTTCCACATGTCTCACGACAGTATGATATCGGCCCTGCAACTAATTTTCAGCTTTTTGCCCCTTTCCGCTCAACTTCCCAATAAACTGTTGAAAATTTTTGGCTCTGCAAAAATGGAATCCAGTTGACGCCTTTAGCCCCGATGCTGTTCAAAGGTGGCAAGCTGTGTCTCAGCACGTTCGTGCGCCACTCACTCCGGAGTCCGGACTGAGTGGTCCGAACTCCGGACCCATTCATTCGCTGGCACGCACTCACCGAAACCCCACTACGGAGGAGGGGGAGCAACACTCGCGTCCGCTCGTGGCGGCGTGCTGAGCTGGACTGGCTGAGCCATTTTTCCGAACGCCGGAGTGGCCTGGCATCCAGGTGAGGATACTATGGCATTGCCGGGGAAATGGGCCAAGGCTTGGACGCAAACGAGATATTGGATACGAGTGGTAGGAGTGGCAAGAGCATGCAACGGGACGCCTGTGACCGTGCATGCCACTGCATGGTGTTTTACTTTTATGTTTTATGTTGAGAGGTGATCACAGAGAGGTAACTAAATTTTCCCATATCTATGGTACGTGACGGCAGCCCCTGGGCGGTCGTCACGCTGGCAGCCGTCAGCACAAATACAGATGCGTTGTGTTCCTATTTGAATTCGGCTGAGCGCGTTCTTCCGTGCTTGCTACGTTTTTTCTAGTTATTTGAAAAGTGAGTAATTAAAGAAACCTTGGGAAGGGGCAGCGCCAGAGAGCCAGTAACTCGGTGATCAGGGTGCAGGGGAGGCGAGGAGTATGAGCGTGTGCTGTACTCTCTGAGCGCGTTCAGAGAGTACAGCACACGCTAGTGGGTGGGTCACCTCAGTTCGGCGTTGGTGAGCACTTTGTGAGTGTTTTGTGTAAGGGTGGGGAATGAGGGTTGAGCGAAGTGCGCCAAGACAGCTGCGTGAAACCGAGAGAGTCGCAACTCGCGCTGATTTTAGAGGGAGTTTTTTAGAGTTAAGAGGAAGCGTCCATTCGAAACACAGTAGGCTTTCCTAAGCTCAGTGCCTAAGACAAGGTTTGCAAATGTGCTGTCCCTGCAGCCATTTATAGATATTGTTGTACTTCGTCTGGACCGTCATACGCGGGTTCAACTCTGCGTGTGTTTGCGTGTGCATGTCATTGAGGCTTCACGACACACTCAGCTGCTGAGGCTATATGGCGTCGCCTGCCTCTCACTCTAGCAGGGAGGGCGGACACCGCGGAAAATCGAATTCCGCACTCTGGTTTGTTAGACGGACGGTAGCTAACGCAGACGCGTTAACCACCACACTATCGGCACACAGGCTCACCCCTGCGTAGCCTGCACCGTAGAGCACAGCAACGTTTGGGAGGGTGTTTGGGTGTGAGACACTACACGTTTTATTTCTTTCGGCCCTTTTACCAGTCGGCAACCATTTTTAGCATGCTTCTTTAAAATTGTTATCTTTTTTAGTGCCTATTGTAAGTTTTCAGCAACATGTTGGTCAGCGAAACTTACTATTCGGGGACATATCAAACGTGTGGGATGTTGGGAGGTGGGTGGGAAGGGACGGTGGCCCACCCAAGGGAACGCAAATCGACACCCACGCTCTCATTTGATCAAAGGTCGATCATGCGTGTGCTATGTATGATGCTGCCCGTGGCTTCGTCAGTGATGCTTTGTGTGTATGAAGCTGTCTGTGACCCCTTCAATGATGCTGTTTGTGTCTGATCCTCCCCAGGACTCAGTCAATGATGCTGTTTGTGGCTGATGCTGCCCGGGACTGACTCAGTGATGCTGTTTGTGAATGATGCTGTCCGCGACTCAGTCAATGTTGACGAATGTGTACGATGCTGCCCGGGCCTCCATGTGTACAATGCTGCCCGTGACTCAGTCAATGCTGACGGATGTGAGCGATGCTGTCCGTGACTCAGTCAATGCTGACCTATGTGTATGATGCTACTCGGGACTCAGTCAATGCTGACCTATGTGTACGATGCTGCCCGTGACTCAGTCATTGCTGACCTATGTGTACGGTGTTGCCCGTGACTTAGTCAGTGCTGACCTTTGTGTACGATGCTGCCCGTGACTCAGTCAATGCTGACTTATGTGTACGATGCTGCCCTGGACTCAGTCAGTGCTGAACTATGTGTACGCTGTGTACGCTCTGTGATGCTGTTTTTGCGTGATGCTACCTGCGATACTCGGCAGTGTTTACCACCACGTTATTCCATTAAAAACAGGTGCTTTTCGCACATGTCGTACCTCAAACCTCTTTGTTGACACGACGAACCACCTTTGAGGCTGAAGCGGTGGTTGCTCACCACGCGGAGCGCCATGAGAACGTGTCGGCTCGGCTCTCACCCAGTGTTTGTCCCAGTGTTCTCCGGATGTTCGGTCCAGACCTTCGCACAGGGCATCGCTTATTAAAAACTCGGCCACTCCGCGTGCAAGTGACTGAGTAGTAGAGAATGCCGGAGTTTACGTCACGCAATTGAAGGTCCAGACACATCCGGCCATGGAGCCTTGGTTAATCACACCGCCGCGCGACGCATTACTGACCCGGACCTCCGGGACAACACGTTGACCCTTGAGATGAGGCACGGAGCTCAAGAGATGATATGAAACGCGTGCTGGGTTAGCCTCCCATTTCTATGCTGACGGATCTTAAACGACTCAGGCCACTTGGTGCTCCCACACATGATCGGGTGCGCCTGACTCCCCTCCCATCTCTCTAAGCCGCCGCTTGGAGGTGTACCTGACCCCCTCCTCTCAGAGCCGTCTTGTGGAGGTGCACCTGACCCCCCCCCCCCAGGGCCGCCGTGTGGAAGTAACATTGGCTCCCCCCCCTCCCCCTCCCCCAGAGCCGCCGTGTGGAGGTCCGCCTGACGCCGCAGCTGGAGCGCTCAGAGCTAGCTGTGACGGCGGCGCTTCTGCAGTACGAGCGGCTGGAGCTGGAGCAGACCCGCCGTCTGGAGGAGGAGGCCCAGCTGGCAAAGGTTTGGCGCTGCGTGCGGTGCGTGAGGGCGTCAGCGACAGGGTGGCACCGGCGCCGCCACCGTCCGCGGTCGTTTACATTCTCCATGGTTTTGTTGTGACCCCATACATTGTAAAAACTGCTCGACATCTGTCTTAACTCGTCGTGTTTTAGCTCTATCACTGTCTTTCCTCGATACATGGCGAAGTCTTAGTGATATTCAGTGCCGCATATACGTGGTGTATGTGTGCATTAATTCATTTCGATTGGTTCACTAACTTATTTTGAGGTATGCACGTATGTATTTTGATTAATGCACCAATGAATTTGGTTTAAACATTGCATTGATGTGTGAAGTCATCATAGCTGATTGCTCGTGTAGAATATCCCCTGATATTGACTCCTGAATGGAATAAGTACGCCTGGTCCGAATCGCTGATGTCATGCATTTCGACCTTTGGCTGTGTTTCCTCCCCAGAATAAGAGAAAGGCCAGGGCCCGAAAAAAGTCGATGTCTCCCAAGCGACAAACCATCCTTTGTCCGGAGCCGTCGACCGTGAAAACGGGTAGCGCCATCTACCAGGAGGCCGAGCAGCTTCAACAGAGGAACTACGAGCCCGTGACTCGTCGTTATGTGATCCCGTGCTGTGTCCGTCACGGTGACCTGGAACAGAAAGGGTCAGGGTAAGTTAGAGGAAATTATTGGATTTATTCGTGCTTACGCATGGTACGTAACCACAGCGTGTATGGCAGCAGGAGACAGGACGATAAAATATTGCAACAAGTACGAAATGACCTGTTCGTAGCCGAACTTCATGGGAAAGATGGCGAGTGTTTTTTCCGAAGATATATATGTTTAAAAGTTGAGCCGTGGCCTGCTTTAGTGTTGTCTCACCACAGCGCTATCGATGATTTGTTTTCGTCTTTGATCCCTCTGATTTCGATCATCAATTTTTCGCGTTAATTTGGGACGCGTTCGATCTGTCGTCAGCACGTTTGTTAGCACCAATCACGGCCCAGTATTCGCCCCACGTCACGTAACGTGACCACAAAGTCACGTGACCTGTGATGTCACGCGCCGGTTGGTGATAATGCCAGGATTGTTGTCAGCATGGGCAGGAAGCGCTACCAGATTCAAAAATCACTGAAGCGGGAGTTTGATTTAATAGCTCTTGCGTTGATAGCTCTTGCGAGAGCGTTAGGTGGCGTGGGGGCACTTGCCTTTTATTTTGGGGGTGATGCAGTGTAAGACATGATAACGGGGGGGAAGGGGGGGGAGTGAATTGAAGAGTTGCCAAGAGTTGCAATGAAAAGGTAGGTGACAGTGATTGGTGCAGTGTGCGGCTGCGTTGCCCAGCAAATTTATAACGTATAAGCAAACATTTAAAATGAAAGAGACGAATTTGAAATGAACTGAAAATGGGAAGAAGCAATCAACGTATGGGTGGGATAGATGATGGTAAAAGAGGAGCAAAAACTACACTTCCAAACACCACTTTGTACGCAGTGTGTCATGGTCAGGGGTAAACCAGATTTGGTGTGTGGACTGAAGTAAAAGATGAAAAAGAAGGAAAAATACACTTTAAAAACTTTCCTGTCAGCCCACACATCGAACGAATGTGTGTACCCCGTCAGCATGCGTGACGTCACGCATTTCAGCTGACAATCGTGCTGACGGCAGATCGCACGGGACCTGGGATGATGCTGTGTGTTTTGGTCAGTGTGATGTTGCATGCTGGGCTGTGCACTCTTGACCATGTCAAGCAAACAATGACTGAACCGTTATAGCCCTGCTAGTTGGCTGATGATTTTGGCCCTGTTTGTTGGCTGATGATTTTGGCCCTGCTTGTTGGCTGATGATCTTGAATCTCTCTTGAATGGCTGATGAAAAATATGGAAAACTGAAACACGATAAAGGTATGCTTAGTTGGCGACAATGGCTCACTGAATTATTTCCAATTTCCCCATATGTGTTTGTTGTCTTCATCATCTTAAACTTCGGAGTTACGTGGCTTTGATGAGCCGGCTTGGCATGAAAGTAGTGATTTTTTTCTCGAATGCATTTGCATAGCTGTTATTTGTCAAGAGCAAAAACAACTTGGTAGGTTCTGTCTCTAAATCTTCATTTAAAATAACGGTGTTTTTCCTACTTGTAAACATTTGGAAGTCCGATCACAGAACCAAATTTATATTTCGCCTCTGCATCGACCGGGTTTCTTCGCCAAGGGGTCGCTGTGAAGGGGCATTCTCCGCATTCCTGTCCCCGGCGGAACCGTTCGATTGACGTCACCGATTCAAAATGCGGTTGTTGGTTCTGAATCGCACGACACAGGACATGTATTTAATGGTGACACAAAGGGTGCAGAGAACGTTGCAGCCCATGTTAATTTGAACTCTTTGTAGGCATATGCGATCGCTGATTATAAGGTGACATTACGACCACCTAGAGTGTCTCCAAGCTCTGCACACATCGGTCAGTCGTGTGACCGAGCTACTCAATTCAACGGCACCTGGAGGTCCGGCCTACAGCCATGGTAGAGCTACGCTGAAAGAGGTTAGCCCGTTCAACAACATTAAGACCCAGTGTCGTATTGAAATCGCCCGCGCAATTTACGTTTACGCAAATATAAATTGCCTATGCGAGTCCTTTCGTCATAAGCCCGTCCCGTTGGCTCAGTTGCTTAGGGCGCGTGCCTTCCAATCCTCCCACCCGTGGCGAGTGGGTTCGAGGCGCTTTAGACGTTCGCTGTCTGCCCTGGACAGCTATGGCCTGCGACCGGTGGCACTGGCCGCGCAAAAGGTCAGGTGACGTCAAGGGGCAGGACAGACCGTGCCGAACACAACAGCACGTTAAACTTTGGCCGCCAACTTGTACCGTTGAACTGGAATAGCGCAATCCGATGGCAGTGGTCAGTGCTTATACAGCAGGCACTGTTGACACGCGCTCGGGTAGGGGTCAGATTGATCCCCTGAGCGTTCTTCCGGAATGCGTTCCGAACACCGCGCCAAAGTTGGTATGGCTGTAGAGAATTGAATAACGGATTGGCCAGGGTCAAAAATTTAGATGTGCCTTGTAAGGTTGCTGGCCTACGGCAGGTCAAAGTTAGACTGTAGTTTCAACGAAGGCAATTTCAATGGAATAATTCAAACTGATCCAACACCGGAGTGCTAGACGAAGCCATACATCTCTGAGATACGGTCTTAGACAACACAGCAACTGAATGAACAAATCGCATGGACCTCGGGTCAGGTATGAAGGTCAGACCAAGATCAAAATCAATCTGTTTTATCACTCTATGCCTTGCTGTGTGGGTATCTTCTGGTGCTCATTTCGAATTTATTAGTAACAAGAACCGCATTACACACTTTCCACGGAATTCTGGAAGGTCAAAATAAGTCACTGACCTAAAATAATCCAGGTCAGCATTTGTTTTTTAGGAACATACTGTCTAGCGCAACCTTTGTCGCTTATCCAAATGCAAAACTCAAAGCAATCTTGTATGATTTTGGTCACCACGACCTTCAAAAGGTCAAACAAGGTCACTGAACTTAAATGATCATGTGATCTTTTGCTTAGATCAGTTATCGAGGTTCTAGGGGCCCTTTGGATGCAAAAGTGGAATATGACCTTGTTTGACTTTATTTGACCCGAAGGGGTCATGACCTAGAAATTTCGAACTCTGATCTAAGTGAGTTCACGTACATCCTGTGAATTTAGTATCTCCAGCTTTCTTAGTTCCTGAGATCTCGGGGGTCAAATTGACCCCCTCCCGAGCGAAGGGTATCCAACCGGCCACTCGAGCGCTTGTTAAGCGTCATCTCTTATCCCGAAATGCATGCATTCAAAATCTTTAAAAAGTGAGGTCAAGCCCGCAGGTCAAGGCCACGCTGCTTACCCGGAAAATATAAAGCGAATCGCATTACGGCGGGAAGTATGACATCAGGGGATTAGAAAACATGCGCATTCATCGTACCTGATGCGTACGACGACGTGGCCTGTGATTAACTTTATGGCATAATGTGTTGGGAAAAGAGAATGCGTTTTCTTCGGGACCCTGCTTGGGCGGCACGTGGTCCCATACTTTGCCCTCCCCCGCCCCCTCATGCACACATCACGGGCGAACATTCCATGTCCGCGGGGCATAACTGTGTTCACTTGCCCGCAAACTTTTGGCACTGTGCAGCAGACTGAGTTGGAGACATGCAAGAGGCAGGAGATCGATCAGTAGAGCAGCGTAGATAAATGAGACAGGACTTTTTTCGGAGGAAAACCAGGCATTTCCTGTTCTTGTATCAACTCATGGGCCTCGTGCGTCAGGGTGCCAACAATCACATGCATTAATTGAATATTGTTTTTATTTATCGTCTAATGGTAGATGTTTGCTTACCTGTTTCTGCGCTAAAGATGAGTTGCTTTGAATGGCTGAATATCAATTGAAGCCTCACAGCTCGACGTCACGCGAGGTCTCCAGATAATTTTATCCAGATAAAGTCAGCTGTATGGTATTATGCTGGAAATGTACTTTTTGGGTCCATGTGGTCAACGGAATGTACCGCTTATTATTACATCCTGGATTGCTTGTATAGCTAATGGCGAAACGAAACAAAATGGAACACGCTCCACAATATCGCTATTAATCTTTCATGCAGGATTAAAACAAAATGCAGCAAAGTTCTAAAAGTTCCTTATGATGTTAACATGCGACACCGTTGCACCTGCAGCCCCTGAACCATGACTCCAGTCCAGCTTGTATTTCACAAGTGGCTTTGGAGCGTCTGAAGCTATCAGTGACCTACGCCTCCCTTGATGCACATGACAAGTTGGAAGAAATCGGAATTTAATCCCCAAACTTAAGAAAGACAAGTTGGTTGGTGCAAAAGCGCCGTAGAGCTCTAAAACCATCCAATCCGTTTTAAACCTACTCTTTTATGTGTTATCGGGGCCGATGTCACAATACAATGCCGGATAAGGATTTTGTCACTTGCCTCCTCCACTCGTAACTTAAAAAGCTCACGCTAAGCAGTGTTGGTCGAGTGAGCCCTGGTCCTTGCCGTCCGATCGTGCAATGCCAGGTCAACGGCAGAAATGCGTCGCGAAATCGTAACGTGCTGCATTTTTTGACATGGTCCGTCCTGCCCTCTGTTGTCACCTGACCTTTGGCGCGGCCGCTGCCACCGGTCGCAGGGCATCTCTCAAGGGCAAATAGCGAGCGCCTAAAGCGACTTAAACCTACCCCTCCACGGGTGGTGTGGGGGGGGGGGGGGGGATCGCGAGACAGGTGCTCGAGCCAAAGGTCTGTCGGGACGGATGACTTGTTGGCATAGCCCGAAAGTTGCAAGACAGCGTCATTTTTATCATACCTATGCGCCATATTGTGCAAGAGTAAAGCAGACCATGAGCCTGGCCTGACCCAGGATGCGTTGAAGGCGATTTACCTAACCTCTGATGACCACTTGCGTCGTGTTTGAAACGGACTGCACTCTAAATAAACGGTGTCGTCAGAACGTATCCTGTAATTTTCACCACTTTGCGGGTCATAGATATGGAGGTCCCATGTTTTTTTTTTGTCCTACTGCTTGTGTTCAAAGAGACAAAACATGGGGATTTCAGAGCAAGGACCTCAAGCAAAAGTATGTAGGCACTGTAGACTGATGCTGAGACCAGGGAGGTTGTGAGACACTTATGACTGATTAGGCAAAGCTTAACTGCCATGTAAGTGTGGCGAACATGTTCTATTCTAATGCAGCAGCGCCCTGTCGCGTGATGTGCAAGAGCGGAAATTGTTGAGTGCGCACTGGAGAGAGACAAATTGTGGCAAGCTCATTTCTGTATTTTTACGCAGCTTCGCAGCTAAAAGATGTAACCTAACGCTTTTTGTGTATATATTAAAGAGAGAAGAGACCGATATCACCCAAGACCAATCAAATCAACTGGTATCTTGTACAATGACAAAACGAGCACGCCTTTTCGCTGCGACCGCCAATGGAGCACACCGATGAATGAGCGTTCGAATGAGAGCGAACGCGCGAGGAGCACTGTTGAATTTATCTGGAAACTGACCCCACATTTGGTGCGATACTAGGCTTCAGACATGCGACCTAACTACCTAGCAGCCGAAAGCTGGTGCAGCTGTTTGCACAAAGACGTTAATGGTGAAGATCAAGACGTCAGGATCAAATGACTGACGGCAACCAAAACATTGTTGTGGACGTTCCATAAACTTGTGACTTGAGGCATCTGTTTGGCCACGTGGAAAACTTCACTCTTCAGCAGACTTGTCAGTTCGCTGGCCTTGTCAATTCGCTCTGTGAGGATAGGAATCAAGCAGTCATTCCCGCCAGGTGGTTGTCATCTGACCTAAGCCAGGTGATAGGCTGCGTCACAGCTGTCCGCCGGCTGCTGGTGGTTGCAGCGGCTGTGCCGTATCGTCTCCCACCAGCTCGTGTGCGCCGGCCGTGTCTGGCGGCCGGCCGGGCGCCGCCGCGCCGCTCAGCGCGCCGATCCGTCGCCACAGAGCGCCGGAAGTGCTGTACCTGGAGGTGGTCTGCAGCACGGCCGCGCCGCAGCTGCTGGCCGTGTCGCCGCGCTGTCTGGAGTTCGGTGCGCGCGTGTTGGGCGCGCCCGCCTACCTGCCGCTGGAGCTGGAGAACACGGCTGCCGAGCCAGTCCGCGTGCGTGCCGACGCGCTCGACCCGCACGGCCCGTTCCGACTGGTGGACCCGCTGGGCGAGGTGGCGCCCGGTCAGCGCCGCGCCGTCCGCGTCAGCTACTGCCCTGTTCGACTGAATCAGGTCAGCGGAGGTCAGCTGCTGCCCCACCCAGCTGGGACAGGTGATCTGAGGTCAGGATGTGCCGTCCGGCTGTATCAGGTCAGTGGTGGCCAGGGGTGTACCGCCCGGCTGTATCAGGTCAGTGGAGGCCAGGGGTGCACCGTCCGGTTGTATCAGGTCAGTGGAGGCCAGGGGCGTACCGTCCGGTTGCATCAGGTCAGTGGAGGCCAGGGGCGTACCGTCCGGTTGTATCAGGTCAGTGGAGGCCAGGGGTGTACCGTCCGGTTGCGTCAGGTCAGTGGAGGCCAGGGGTGTACCGTCCGGCTGTATCACGTCAGTGGAGGCCAGGGGCGTACCGTCCGGTTGTATCAGGTCAGTGGAGGCCAGGGGTGTACCGCCCGGCTGTATCAGGTCAGTGGAGGCCAGGGGCGTACCGTCCGGTTGTATCAGGTCAGTGGAGGCCAGGGGTGTACCGTGGGTGTGTCAGGTTGATGCAGGTGAGTGCCGACCCGTCCCGGGGTCAGCCTGGTCCGTGGAACGCAGTGTCGTGTCCTCCTGCCGTGTCAGGTCAGTGGAGGTCATTTCTATTCTGTGCGACTTTGTCGGGCTGGCCGATGTGAGACACGTGACGTCTGGCTGTGATCGGCCAGGGAAGGTGGACTTTGTCCCCTTCGACTACGTCAGGTCAATGGAGGTCACGACGGTGTCGTCCGGCCGGGTCAGGTCAGATGGTTCCTGAGTGGTAAGGTGGATTTCAGGACTATTCCATCCGGCCAGGTCAGCTCAGATCGTTCCTGAGTGGTAAGGTGGATGTCATGACTATTCCGTCCGGCCAGGTCAGCTCAGATCGTTCCTGAGTGGTAAGGTGGATGTCAGGACTATTCCACCCGGCCGCATCGCGCCGTTGAAGGCAAAGTTGTCCAGAGTCTAGTCTCGCCAGGTGGGAGGAAGTCAGTGCCGTCCTATCTGGCTGTCCGGTCAGCGGATGTCAAAATCATTCTGCTCGACTGTGTCAGCCAAGTGGAGGTCAGTGGTGGCCAGTACTGCTGGCCTCCAGTGACCTCCACAGTGCTTAAACACTTCGCAGTACTGCGTGGGGTCAGGCGGTGTGCCAGCACTGTCGGTTGAGGGGGCTCAGTCGTACTCCGTCTGGCCGCATCAGGCCCCGGCGGAGTTCAGTATTGCTCCGTGCACTGCCAGACCTTTGGATACCAGCACTATCCTGTCCGGCTGCGGATCAGTAAAGGCTGTGGCTGTTCCCTTCGTCTGTGAAGTCGGTAGAGGTTGAGATTGTTGCCTTCGTCTGTCAGGTTCTTAGAGCTCGGGACTTTCCCATTGATGTGTGAGGTCAGTAGAGGTCAGGACTGTCTCGCCTGGCTGTGGCGGACGAGTAGAGGTCAGTTCAACTATTACTCACTAACTGGCGATTGACGGAGATCAGGCGTGGTCGTGGTTGACCGGCAGGTCAAAAGAGGTCATGTTTTTCCCCAGTGGAAACATATCTTCGCCGTATGGAATTGCATCGGGCTGTGGACTGATCTGTTGGAGGTTGAACTGTCTCAGAAGTGCTGGCTGATATGGCACGCGCCATGTTGCTTGTGCTAAAGTTGGCCCTGCATGTTTACTTCCGGCGTGGTTTCAGGAGCTGGAGTTTTGGAGCCTGCACGGCGGGAACACCACGCTGCGATACGGGCTGAGCGGTCGGGGGGTGAAGGCTGAGTTCTCCTTCGTCCCAGAAGATGGCGTTCTCACGCTGGGCAAAGCGAAGCTCGGTGGATCAGTCAAAAAACAAATTGTGGTATGTCCGTTGACGGCGGCGTCTGTGCTTTGTCTCTCGTGCTAACGTATATGCAAAATAGCGGAGCTAGATAAAAATCGTCCCGGTTGTCTCCCTGGTAGCTTAGTACAGCAATTCCTGCTCCCTCCCCCAATGTTCCCAGATAGCTGGAAGACGACACGTGTTGTGCCCGTTCCGAAGTCACGGGATCCGGTCGAATCGTCCAACAACAGGCCCATATCTCCATGCAGCGTGCCCTCTAACATCTTGGGGAGGATAGATTGCACACAGCTAACGGAATATTGGAATGCGACAGCACTGCTACATCCATCCCAGTATGCCTATAGGCCACTCCACTCGACCGAGGATGCCGTGCTCGCCGCAGTTGAACGCTTGGTCGCCAACACCGACGACGGTCTTTTATCGTCGGTAACGACGATCGGTTTGTCAACGGCGTTTGATAGCGTCAACCCACGATGTCCTCCTCACCAAGCCGTCTTGGTATGGCGTTGCCGATGTGGGATGGTTCAGGAGTTATTTGAGTGGTCGAGGGCAGGTGGTGCGTGGAGGACGGCTCACTCCCCCCTTGTCATGCGGTGTGCCCCAAGGCTCGATCATCGGTCCAATTTTGTGCATTTTGCTTACCGACGATCTACATGGATGTTTGACTCATGGCCGCCTCATCTCCTTTGCTGACGACGTTATGCACGTGGCCTGCGCATCCCCTGACGGAGCAGGTCTCGGCGACCTCAAAACCAGGTTGGACCTTACCATGCGTGAGCTTCAAAACTGGTTCAGTGGCAATTATCTCCAAAGGAACGAAACAAAAACTTTTTTGTGTTTTGAGTCAAAGCAGACTGTAAAAAGTCAGCTGGGATCTACTTTAAAGTAAACGGCTGGACTGTGCATGCCTCAAGTGGTATTACAATTATCGGTGTCATAGTTGACTCCAGTCTGCCATGGCATGCCCATGTATCGAGTGTCGTGAATAAATGCAGTGGCATGCTCGTTTCTCTAAACAAATTTCGTCGTTACTTCGCCTCAGTTCTTCTCAAAATCATCTTTCAGGTGTACGTGCTCCCTCATATCACGTACTGCCCGTGCGTGTGGGGTGGGGCGACCAAGAGTCAGCCACACAAAATGTTTTGAAAACGTGGTCAGCTACGCAAACTTTAAAAAAAAATCAACTTCACTGCAAGAGTAGTTACCGGCTCCAAAAAGCACCATCACATATTTCCAGCTCTAAATCCCCTTGGATGACCGAGGATCGAGGCGATGGTGGCGCACCGCGATGTGATCGGTGTTTAGGGCGCCGAAGGAGGTAGGCGAGTCTCGCGAGGTCCGCGCGCTTTTTGTGCCACGTGCCGCTCTTTTCACCCGTGAAATGCGCGCCTTGAACAGAGGTAGTCCGTACCTGAGCGGACATCGACTGACCGTCACACAGAGGATGTTTCCCCATCGGGCCGCAGCTGCCTGAAACCGCCTACCATTGAACGTTTGTGGTGCCACAACACGTGGGTGTGTGTGTGTACCATTGTCCTGAAAATCATTCACGTGGTGGCTATTTCGGTTTCAGGACAATGTTATTTTAACACGCGCGCGGGTGGGGAGTCAAATTACTCCCCCCCCCCCTCCGGAAGGTTTTTACCAGAATTGTTTCCGGATGCCGCGGCGTATCCGCGCCAAATTGTGCATAGCTGTAGAAAATTGAATAGCGGATCGTTTGGCATCAAAAATTGAGATGTACCTTGTAAGGTCGCTGACCTATGGCAGGTCAAAGTCAGACCATGGTTTTACCGCCGGCAATTTGTAGAGAGGCCTTCAATCTGACCCAACAACGGAGTGTTAAACGAAGCCATGCATCTCTGAGATGCTTTCTTAGGCAATACAGCAGTTTAGTGAGCAAATTACATTGACCTAAGGTCAGGTATGAAGGTCACACCAGGGTCAAAACCAACCTGTTTCGTTACTCTAGGGCTTGCTGTATGGAATAGCTCTGGGGCATTTCGTATTTATTGATGGCAGGAACCGCATTATACATCTTCCATGGACTTCTTAGAGGTCACACACACGCACACGCACACGCACACGCACACGCACACGCACACGCACACGCACACGCACACGCACACACACACGCACACGCACACGCACACACACACACACACACACACACACACACACACACACACACACACACACACACACACACACACACACACACACACACACACACACACACACACACACACACACACACACACACACACACACACACACACACACACACACACACACGCACACACACACACACACGCATAGTATGCTTATTCTGATACATGTGAGCCAGACATTGTATAAATCATCATCGCATGTTACCTTTTGGTCATTGTCACGATGATGACAATGGCACAGCATATCATATGTCATTGCGGCCCTCATGACTCCGGTATCTCGCTGCAGCCGGTCACTAGCGGATTTTGGCCTTCGCAGCCCGGCACTGTCGGGGGCCTGCCTGAGGTATGACAGGACACCCTGTTGTTCAGACCAATTCGTGGCTATGAATGGCTGGCTGCGTATGAGCCCAAGTGTGACGTATCTCCTCATCCTACAGCCTCGGAGTAGTCCAAGCGGGTCGAAAGACGCGTGGGACGACACAATGCCAAAACAAATAGGCAATAAACCCCTCCTGAGCTTCTACTTATGGAAATAAACACGGATCTAACGTTATGTTGGGGTCATTCATGAATCTATCCAACACCACGAAGATATATTTTGTTTCTTCGTGATTTTCCGCTATCGGCAAGGAACGTTTTTTTAAAAAAAATCGGCCGCTTTCTTGTGTGTTTTAAGCCATTTCAGAGAATCACGTCACAGCCATGAGTCCATCGGGTTGCCGGTCAGCGTGGCCATAGCCTCTTGTTTCTAAGCGCCTTGGGACAGGAGGCCGGCTCATGGCAGCGATGCGTTTGGCCTCTCATGCTGACAGCTGTTGAATGCGATGCGTATCTGCTTACCGTAATGCCCACAACGCACATGATGAGATGCTTTCTGGTTTCTGTTGACGGCTTCGAGATAAGCCTGCATTACGTGGAACTCGGCTTGAGCAATCATGTCTGAAGTCCTGAACTGATCCCTAGGCAGCGGCCTAGGAAATAAACCGTGCTTCAAAGCTAAAAAGACTGTAAATAAGGCCCTAAAGCCGGGATGCTATGCTTGATACAGAGAGTGATATATCTAGTGCTCCATTTGTTCCGCATGTGAGACTTACCAGAATATGAACGTCCCTTGTTACGTGCATACGTACTTGGGTCTGCTCATTGATGGCTGCAATTAATATAACTGGACTTCGACGTTCACGGATTCTGGGAGGAATTGATTCTACCTTGACTCAGTCAAAGTCTGGATGCTTGCTGAGACGATCCGGGGTCAAACACAAGGCTGGTTGAACCGGTTCGGACCGGTTTGCAGAAGCCTTTTCGGTCAGCGTCCGCCAACCCTGGTCACGATGTCGAGGCGTCCCCATTACGTTTGGGTTGTTCCGCTGATGCAACGCACATCTAGGTCTGCGCGGGTGCGCGCCGTTACCGGAGGCCGATTGCTATCACAGACGTGGCGTCCGCGGCGAAGTTTGCAGCCCAGATTCGGAGTAGAAGAGGCTGGTGCGGTCGGGGGCTCGTCGTTACGGGATTTGGCATATGTTAGGCATGCTTCTGAGGTCACTGTCATCGGCTAGTGGTCTGGTTAGTGGTCTGGGTAGTAGTCTGGCCGGTGACGTCAGACATGTGCGCTGCCGGAACTGCAGTTAAGCCGCGGCTGGAGGGTGAGTTAGTTTACAGAGAGGTTCGGCGGACGGCGGGGGACAGGTGAACCACCGGCTGGTCGGATTGTTGGCTGGTTAGTGTTCAGCCGATGTTAGTTATATAGGACTCACTGATCAGCGCAGAGTCACAGCCGCCTCAGAGCTCGGGCTGCCAGCCCCGTCAAGAACGTTCCCGTGAAAGCCGTGCATACTTTACTGCGGGTAGGATGAAGCTCTGGCGCAGGCGACCATAACTCGGCGTTGTAATGCGCCACATGTTCTGATGACTGGATATGCCCAAATTACGGCGTGGTGCCAACGTTTTTGCCACAGGCGTCGAGCACCCGAAACAACGCTGTTAGGTTTTGGAACCGAATCAGTATCCGTTTAGGGAATGCGTGGTTGTCGTCGTGGACCCGTACTCCAACGAAGCGCATCGCCTTGTGCTGGCAAAGAGGGATGATGCCGGGTGGTTCTTTCTCCGTTGCGCAGCCCACGATCAAGTGCAGATCCGCGCGCGCACGAAAATCTCACATTCTCGGGAGCTTTCGACAGAAGTAACCAGGTTTTTACGGCCGAACCAGCACTTCTTGGGAGCCAACCGTAGCGTGAGATACCGATAGCATTGCCAGTGTTTCACATTCCATTCCACAACGTAGGTTTGAATGGCGTCTGGCCAAGGATCTTCCCATCAGCAGCGCGGTATCGACCGTTTCTTGTCATCAGCCACTCTCCCAGCCCCGCCGTCCTATCCATGGTCTCGGACGAGGCGTGCTCAGCCCGCCGCCCGGCCGCTCCCCGCACCGTCAGCCACCGGCCGTCCGTTGCAGGTCACAAACCGGTGCGACGCGCCGCTCGTGTTCGACGTGGCGCTGCGGCCGGCTGCTGCAGTGGCGTCGGCGGGGTCACCGCCCCCGGTGGCGTCCGCGGGCAGGGCGCGCCGCTCCGGCTCGTCGCGCGCCCGCAAGAAGGCCGCCAAGCCGGAGACGCCGCCGTCGTCGCCACCGCCACCACCGCCGGTGTGGAGCGTGTCGGCATCCCAACTTACGGTGGCACCGCGGGCGGCGGCGGCGCTGGAGGTGGTGCTCTGCCCGCCGAGCGACGCCGAGTACCGGGCACAGGTGGTGCTCACATTGTTCAGGCGGCTAGATGAGATTGCGGTCTCCGTCGTTGGCAAGACGAAAGGGTACAAGGCGCCGAAACCCGAGAAAAAGAGCGAGGATAAACCCTTAAAGAGTGTTAAGAAAGATAAGTCTCCAGGCAA